GAGGTGTCAGAGGCACCTGCTGAGCAAACGGTTTGAACAAGGTGCTGGGGCGTGTCAGACCTCAGATGCCCAATGAAATCCGATTTCAGGCATCTCCGGTGCACATGGTCCCCTGCAAGCGGGAGTATGTGCTGAAGGGTGGCACCCTATAGGAGATCGTTGGACCATCTTCAGTCAGCCACCCGAAACATCTCCCCCAAGCACCTCTCGCCTCAGAGGGTGGTAGTGGATCTTGGGGCTTGCGAGCATGTTGGCGCTCAGATCTGGAGTCCTTGGTCCTGGTTCTGCTTCTTTTTAGGGGTGGACTTGGTTGTTTCTGGATAAGTCCACGTGAATCCTTTTCTGAGAAATATGATTTGTACAGGTCAATAACTATGTTGGAATATGCTTAGCATTGATATGTACAATATGTATACAATTGATTTCGTTTTGTTTTTACACCCGGGAAGAGACCCACATGGAACCTGAAAGCGGACCAGACTGGAAGACCATATTCCTCTACAAACCAGTGATTTTCAGGTTCCATGTTGGAGCTCTTCCAGGGCGTATCTATATGTTAATTTAGGATTTCCTTCAACTTCCATTGACTTCGCCTGGCGCATCCTTGTTCGCCTTGCGCATCCTTCTGCCTTCCGCACGCGCGCAGGATCCGGAATCCCGCAGCCACCCCGACGCCTCCCCGACGGCGCCGGTCGCGCGGAACAGCCGGAGCTCCGCCGGAGGGTTCACCAGCTCCGCCGGAGCCGCGAGTTCCGCGAGCTCCTGGAACGAGGTGGTGGATGCTGTTGAGGCGCTGGAGGACGCCGTGGCAGAAAGGGTCGGGTTTTTCAGAGGTTTGGGGCGGGGGGGCTCGGGGCTTAGCTGATTTGGTGAAGGTATATTTGTGTGGCTAGGCCAGGTGAAGGGAGATGTGGTTCCCAGATTGTGCCGGATACTTACAGTCGAAGCCTTCCTTTGAAGCAGATTTAATACCTGGTAAATATTAAAATGTTGTTGGGGACTCCCACCAAGAGACACCAAGACAAGGCAAAGTCTTGAGACCACAAATGGTCGATGCGCACGTGTGGTTTCCACATGTGTTTCCACGACTGGAGAATTTCTGCTGCCTGCCCACCACCCTCCATTTCCGAGATATGTGATTGGTGGACCTCCAACATGAACACACAAGTAGTTAAATAGACCTTCAAATCTTTTTCGATCTGATCCTGAACTTGCCTATAGATGCCACCATGTGCTCCCCCTACTATGCGCTAAACACGCCTCCCTGGGATGGCGCTTCTTGTTTCCCCTGTCCGGCTTCGTTTGACCCTCCATGTCGGCCAGACCACTCAAGGAGGTGACCCTTCTGTTGAACAACGGCCACAGGGCTCAAAGCATCGAAGAAGCGCATCTCCGCTTCGCCAGCGCGGGACCACGCGCGCGGGGCGCCCGGGGCCCGCGCGGGGCGGAGGGCACGCGGAAGGGGCACGAGATGGAGATGCCCAGTCTCAAGATGCTTGGATTGAAGCCTCATGACTGCACATCCGCTTGGGTTCAAAAGGATGCTTCTCAATCATCCGAAATGGAACACTCCTGGCTCGAAGATGTGTTCATAAGGAGGAACCCATAAGAATGAACTCCACTAAGCCAGGGCTGTCAATGCATTTTTGATCAACCGCCTGGCAATTATTGCATACTACAGTCTACATTTGTTTGTTTCATCGCAGTTGTTAAAATTCGTCGCACGTGGTACAGCTCCAGCTGTGATGATCTCTGCAACCAGCCGCGCGCCGTAAAGAATTGTTGTTGATCCTGTATGGCATTCGGGGACTATAATAAAGCATGTTGCGATTGCCGTACATCTGTCGTGAAGGTGAACTTTGTTGATAGTACTCAAGTATCAACTGGATCAACAGCAATGGGAGTAGGCCATGCAACGAACATGTTCTTTGCCACTATGTGTATTAGTGCCCAATCCCATTCATCCCGTTCATTTCGAGCAGGGTTCGACCCAAGCAACGGAAAACGTGAGAAGGTTTGTATGCGGCTGATCATTGAGGCAGCTCGGTGCACAGGCTGTGCTGCACAGGTAGGTGGGTGACATATCCTCACAGACAAACATGACAAACCCAACTTGTGCCCCAAAGACATTGGTTTTCTTCACTGTATAGTTCTAGATAGTTCTAGTAATTATTAGTAATTTGCATGGCCGATTCTTTTCAGGGCAGGTGGGTAGATTTGGATAACGTTTGAATCATTATTGAGCCTCCGAGCAGGGAACAGAGGGGCCTCGCCACTGCTGGTTGGCTTGTAAAAAAAGGTCTCAAAACCTCGCTTGGTTAAACCGTTTTGCCAGATTTGGCAGTAGATTTCGCTTTCAGGTTGGCTCACATCTGCCCAGGTCATCGTTCTTCGACCCTAAGGTGATCCTTCTCGGAAGTCGGCTGCAAGGTCAGCCAAGGTCTTCCCCTTGCAACCAGATGGGAGCGTTCGCCAGACACCATTCGTGGCGTGGCCTCTGGCGCTTTCTCAGTGCCCGACCGGAACCGGTGAAGTCTTCGCCTCCGACCTCCAGCCGCGGTCGCTCCGGTCGCTCCGGTCGCTCCGAGGAGGTTGACCCGGGCAACGGACTGGCCCAACCTCCTGAAGATCCTCCAGGGCTATGTCGACCATCTGCGCTCCGGAGAGGTGCGAAACGCTCCCGCTTCAGCTGGGCAAGCCAGTGGTAAGAATGAGGTGATGCATCAGGGAGATGGATGTCAGAATCACTAGACTGACTAGCCCCCCCAAAAACCTCCAAACCGTTTCCACAGGGTGTCGAACAGCTTTGGTTGGTGGATCAGCCCCAGCTTTGGGCCATTTCTTCATGCAATTTTGATCCGGCAGTGTCGGCCGATCAGCCACTTGAAGCCGGCAGGAAGGGCAGCTCTCCATGGGGCCCCTGTTCCTGAAGCTGCCTGGGAATCGAAGCTCGGTGGCGGGCAGGGGTCGCCCATGTCTTGGAAGATGGTGCTTCGAGCACCCAGGTGGTGCATGCAGTGAAGCATAGGCATAGGCCGTGCCTTCTGCAGCGCCGTCTGCCCCGTCCCCCCTTCAAAGCCGTTCATACTGCCGTTCATGAATGATGAGGAATTGGTGTAAGGTCACAGATGGACATGCAAATATGCCGAGACATTTTGGGCGTTTCTCTGGACAATTCTTGGCTGTCTGCCGGCAGGTGAAAGTGGTTGGTAGGCTTCCTCCTGCTAAGGTGGGTTCCTGCTGAAGCCCACCCTAAGAGCAAGGTTGCGGATGGTGCAGGTTGTGATGTGACCAGCCTGCTTGTCACCATGCCAAAAAGGCATTCTCGCTAGGAGGGAAATATTTGGCACCACTGCAGCACTCTATGCTTTCACAACCCGAATGTTTGGCATCTCGAATGTTTGGCATGACCATCGCTGGGCTCCGGTGATCAACTGGAAAGGTAAGGCGGCAAGGTGCTACTTGCAATGACTACATGTTGCCAGCATGGCGGGCAAAGTACCGCGCCACTGGCACAAAGGAGACCACTTCTTCTTTCGACAGCAGGTCGGAGCTTGATCGAGCAGTTCCAGTTACAGTTGGTTCAGAGTAGATGGCGCAATCCCCAAAAGGTGGTTTAGATGTACCCCCATCTAAAAGACGTGTAGGGGTTGTGCCATCTACTCTGAAACCACTGTAAGTGGTTGTTAGATGTTGGAACCGTGGTGGCTGGTCCCATCTGATCTTGTGCAGCATCCCCTCTCGAAGCTCTGGGGGTGGTGCCCCGACACAGTCGTCCTCAGGAAGCTACGTGAGGGCCAACCATGCGGTGCTCAGTTCACCTGATACCCCGCGATTGCACCAGTTCCCGCCAGAGCGCCCGGTGCGACTGTGGCTGCACTTGAGCAACCTGGATCAACAGCACGTGACACGGGCGCATGAGCCCTCACTCCAAGAAATCTTGGAGCAATAGCTGGCTGCAGGGGCTCTTGCCATCTACCAGCAATAGCCATTGCTGGCGTTCCTACCGAACACTAGTCACTAAAGGTTTCAATCTGTTTTCGAGCATATGGCAAATCGCATCATGACCGCCCATGGTCGGGCCGGTGGCCGAACGGAGCAGCATCAAAGAGGCGACAGCACTGACCACTGACATATAAAATCCAGAGGCCACCCGTACAACAGCTCATGAATCACTATAATATACTAGAATGCCTTTCTTTTCTTCCAGCACCACCCAGTTTGGGTTGTTAGCATTGGATTTGCAATACATCTTCAGGGGGTCTACAAACCTTATGTTGATCGTCGTTTTATGATGATGATGATGATGATGATGATGATGATGATGATGATGATGATGATGATGATGATGATGATGATGATGATGATGATGCAATGGTTTAGATTATTTACACATCCATCCCCATGGTTAGATTTGCTATGCATGTCAACTCATAGATCATAGTACATCTAGAAGGGGAGGCATTTCGGCCCCTGCAGAACAGCCGGTCCACACCAGATCCAGAGTCGGCCACTGCAATCGACGAGCACCAATTGGTGCGGCACGTGCGGGGTGCGCGAGAGTTCTGATGAGCTCATCTTGTTTTCATATTCAAATAGTACATGCGGCACTGCCAAGTGATGTATGTGCAACAAATGGTAAGCAAAACGTTGCCATTTTTCTCCCTCACTCCAATCTCACTCCAATCTCGGCCGCGGGCGGTGGCTGGTGGTTTGGACCTGAAGAGGGATGAACCACAGGCTTTTCCTCTTGTCTCCGCCGCCTCGAGGCGCTTCAGCGTCCCCGGTTGGCAGATTGGCCGAAAAGGAGCGTGCATGGGCTCGAGGGTGACGCAACAATTGCTTCAGAAGCCAGTCAGGGCATCAGCCTTTTGTATCTCGCGTGCCCTCAACGACTTGGTCACAATACTTGGTCACACGTTGGTCACACGTGATCACCGTGCCCTCAACGACTTAAAGGGGTAGAATCGCACCTGGAGTCTCTCTCAGCGGATTGGGAGGCTTCCGGCAGCGCGGGATGAACATCGTGCGGGCCGAAGGAATCTTCGGCCTGTGGCGGGGCAATCTGGCGGTGATTCTTCAGGCGCACAGGGCACGCCTCGCGCCCTTGTTCTACTCGTCCCGCGGAACGAGGACAGGGAAGCCTGGTGTAAGATGATACTGGCAGAAAGGGCAATAGGCTATATTAGGATCTCAGGAACACATTTCTTGCCTCCCTTTAGTGCTCTTGTGATCTCTAGTGTTATTCGCAAAGACCATTCCACATGTGAGAGCATGCTGGCACACGAGGATAAGTGTTTTCAGCATGTGTAAGAAGCTTGGAATCTTTGGATCTTGGGTTGGGTTTGTGACTAGCATTTTATTGAGAAGGTGTTTGTCCACATTGCCTGTCCACCGCATGAGTGGGAAACCCAAGGTAGAACCCTGGCACCACCAGCACCTGTGGACGGTTTAAATCCAATTTGCTCCCTGTAGGACTTACTGATCTACTATTTAGATATTCAATGACATTCATTAATGATATATATATATATACACGTATGCATAGATGTGCAGAGTATTCATGGTGGTCTGCAAAAGATGGTTTCACGGAAACCCCAATGCGCTCCAGTCACATGGTTTCTATTTGTGCACCTGAATGCCATACCATTTCAACTTCTCTTGAAGGAATGGGACAGCGAGGGACTCGGCTGCCCCCGCTGTCCCAGTGATCCGAGGACTCTTTCTCTAAAGTGTTATATAGCCACGACTCTCCAACAGGCCATTTGGGATGCTCATGGAAGTGCTTTTTTGGGAACTCCTTGCGCGCTGTGGCACGAGGAGTTTTGAGAACCACTTCCTGTAGATGTTTGAAGGCAGTCTGCCCGGTCTGCGTGCCCCACCGAGCCGGCCACATGGGCAAAGTCCACTCAGGAAGCTCCTAGGGTGTGTCATACCCTTCAGTTGGACCATCCAAAGAGGACCATTCAACTCAAACCTCCGTGAGCCAGGAGGGTCACTCACTGGGCATCAGGCGTGGAAAACGCGTTGTCCTGGCCACCCCACCATGAAATTCGAGGTCATGATAGATTGAAGCCCGCCTCTTTTTTACTCGAAACATTTGGGCAAGACAACCGGGGAAAAGGGGGGCGGTGTCGGTGTCGTCCTGAATACGCCATCTCTTGGTTTCGTCGATGTCGGCGACCGAAGGTGATGCCATATGCTGGCTTGCAATTCATGACTTTCGACCAGCCACTTGGCACCAGCCACTGGCGATTCCGCTTGGACACTGCATGCCTTTGGAAGTGCCACTGCACACCACTAGTCCAACTTGTGGTGGGGATGTGGGTGTGCACTTGTGAGCTTGTGCAGTCAGATGTAGTGAATAGTTAAAGATAGAAGGAAGTTGTTTCAGCGATTTCAGCGGTTCAGGTGCAGGATTGTTTGGTATTTTGATGTATTTTTTGCTTGCATTATTGGACAGAGAGGTGGGAGCCCCAGCCATCCCAGCCATCCCAGCCCACTGAGCATTCAATAAGTCAATTGTCCTTCCGCCTGGCCCTCTAGTTTGGTTGAGGAACGACAGGATTAGGGCTGCCCTTTGGTGGTACCAAGTAGCATTGAGCAGCCGTCAGACGCCGAATGACCAAGCGGCTAAACCAACCAACCTGTAGCCGTCGGTTCAGCCTGACCTTCAACATGGCCGGCTTTGGAAGTCGCCGGCTTCGCGTGTCTACCTCCGCCTGAGGTATCAGCAGCTTTTAGAACCTGCTTGCTCTTCCCCTTGCCTCGTGCGCTTTGTCTCCGGGGCCGCCGCGGGGGCCACGGCCACGTTGTTCACCTACCCCCTGGAGCGGCCGCGCGCGGGGTGGAGGGGGGGTCGTTGGGAGGACCACGGACCGATGGACTGCCACGATTGGAGCATACTAGAGGTGAGTTGTGAGTACCTGGAGGTACCTGATACTGCCACGTTCCATACTCTATGAGGTATAAAGGGTGGGTTGCGTGCATCTGTTTGCACACTTGTTGGGCTCTAGGCCCTAGAACGGCGCAAGCGCTCAGCTGTTCTAGGCCGCTTTTCGGGCTTTCGTGACCGATCCTTCACTCGTGGGAGTGCTGGGATCCTTTCTGAGTCCAGACGTACTCAATGCATACTCCGCATGTATATATATATATATATAGTATTACAGTTATTATATAGTTACATATATACTACTGACCAGTGACTTAGGACTTGTCGGAGGTATGCCAAAAATTCAATGTCCTATCTCATGAGTAAAAGTACTTTGAGACACGCTTTTCGTCCACAACTCCTATCTCATAAAGCCTAGCGATGCAAAACAGGAACGCTCTTGAGTTTTTTTCAACAAAAATGGTGTGCCCAGTGCATGTTTGGCCGGACGCCAACACATGAGATAAGACTTTGGAGATGTGCATGCAGTCTGAGTTGGGACTTGTTGGCAATCTGCTGTATCACAGACTTCTAAAGAGTGTGTGCAAGAGGAGTTACTGCAACACAGCTGGTGGGGCTCAGGGGACATGAGGACCAAGGATGTCCTCCAAGGATGTCCTCATGCGGTCAAGATGGGAAGGCATGAGACATAACAAAAAGAACAACAAGGAACACTAATACTGAATTCCTCACTCATGTTAATGTCAAATGTCAAGGGAAATTTTGCAAGATGGTCACAACAATTTGGGCCACACCGCATTGAACACTTTTCATTTCAGGGCAGATGCGTGTTTCAGTTCAGAACAGCTGAACTGATAAGCTCATGGCCCTGGTGGAAGACCGTGAAGTACCATATGAAAGTGTGAGTTCCCTGGCAGGTCAATGTATTTGTTTGAACATTTTGGCAGTTTGGTGACCGTGTGCAAAGCAGGACTTGATAGTGAATTTCCATACAGTTTTATAGAGTTTTGCCACCTTTCTAGATACATGAGGCCACATCAACTTCGACGGGGTCAAGAACCTGGCCTTCTACGAAGCGCTGGACAAGGGGGTTCGCCAGTGCGAGTGGCAACTGGCCAGTATCATTGGCTTGACTTCAGACCAACAAGATCCTAAGAAGATTCAATCGAATGCAAGAAACTTGATTTCAGTTCAATGATTGAATGAACGGCGCTTAATTTTGCTATTGTTTTTCTACAAAGGATGATTCCCAGGTAGTTGAAATGAGTCTTTTTCATTTCCCAGGAAAGCAGAAGAGTACGTGCATGGAGGCTTGGCAGGATGCCCATCGCCTGGTTTGGCCAGGCTTCCAGGTGCCAAAGCTACTTGAGCCACTGAGCAAGAGGAATGTTGCTAGAGAATCAGGCTTCTTTCCGGAGCAAACAGTTCCTACGAGCCTGATGTTTGCTATCTTTGTTTTCCAGATCACCAACCCGAAACGGAACACGACTTTCAGATCACTAAGTGCTTCAGCGTTCATAGACTTTGTTGCAGCTTGCTGTTCGACTGGTGAACTCGTTTTGAAAGTGAGCACTGCTGGTGGAAATGGCCAGCCTTGGGAGTTGCCCGTCCCAAGAAACGGCCAGCTGCCACTGAATTGCTTCTTGACCGATGAACTGCAACAGAAGTTCGAAGAGGAGTGGCAGTGGATGATGCAGGACCATGTATAGGGACAAATTAGTGGTTTGTAAAGGAACTCGTGTCTTGCACCCCCACACTGTAGAAGTTACTGTGAGAGTCTCTTGTGATTGACAAGTCAGATCTATAATCAGGATTCTTATTTTGGAAGTTAGCCAGGAGTACAGGTGGGAATGTATGAGGTGACAGAGGAATTTCCTTGTGATCAGGTTTTGACTTTTGCATATCTGCAGGACGTACAGTATCATTTCATGAGATCTCCGAGCTCTTCTCCACACATTGGGCATTTGATCGCTTTTGCTTTGAACCCGCATCTTGACTGATTTGTAGGAACTCAGCGGCGATTGCATGTTAAACTGAGACATTGACAGGAGATTCACAATGAATTTGGATTCAAGACAGTATGACTGACAGACGCATTTGAATATTCAGCTTAATCATTAGGTCCTTCGTCGACAGCCGGGGTGGCCGCAGAGAGGCTGCATATCGGCAACCTCTTCAAAGGCTGGTATTGTCCTTGGTAGGACAGATCTCAAAGTTTGTGGAAGCTAAGCTTGGTCTTATTGATCTGGTTTGGAATGGAATGAATGCGACATCAATCACAAATCTTGCCATGTGCTTGAAACTTTCTGGAATTCCTAGCAGTCTAGTAGTACCAGACTTACACGTTACACTGGCTGAGGACCAGAACGCAGGGTTTCTCGCTCATGGCAAGCGTGTGGAGAAGAAGACGAAGAGGTCCACACACTTGTCACCACTGGACGCCTTCAAAGTTGCATTAGAAATTCTGAGGGGCAAGGCGGGCAAGTGGTTTGCAGCATGCGTGGCCATGAACCTTTCCAGGATTATAACCTAACCTAAAGTTAAAGAGAGTCAGAGTCAGAGATGCTGTGAGCTCATACCAGACCTGACCATGTGCCAAGTCCATGTCAGATTGTCATGTGTGGCAGGCGACGTTCTTGTCAGAAGCGGTTAAGAATGTCCTACCTCGCAGACCCAACCCAGACAAGGTTGGCATTGAGTGTGCGTGGCGCTATGGGGAGACTTGGGCTGTCAATCAACTTACTACTGAGTCAAAGGCAAGTTTGTTGCTCTAATCAACTACTATACATATGGATGTTATGTTGTGTGTGAGTTTTCTTTCCCCTTGATCTTTCCACTTTACCTGAGGACACCTTGCTGAAGGTCGCGAAGGAGAAATTTTGCCAGGAATCCCACGTTCACGTGAGCGGCTCAAGAAGATTGAATGAAAGCAGCAAACCAGTCAGTGGAGACAGTATTCCTCACATTGAAACATTTCAACACATCATTGTCAGCTAAGACCATCATCTGAATCTGTTGCAATACAATGGTCAGTTGATAGAACTTCTGGCTGCAGGCAATGTTCGATGGAAGCTCATTGGCGAAGACACCGGCAGAACTTTTCCACTTTCATTGCCAAGAGCTTGGGATCAATTATATAAAGTCAATGTCAAACGTTTCTTTGGCACTTTCAGAACGTCAGAGCGTGAAACATGTTGATCAGAATGTCTGTCACGGCCTTGTGTCCTAGGTCCAAGAGTGAACCAGGGCATCCACCCTCCACCCATTGTGCTCCACTCAGTCAGTCAGTAAGGGCACTCATTGTCACTGATTCGATTTACGCCGCTCAGTTGTGACACTGCCCTGACTAACTGTCACCTTGGCTCTAGCACAGCTGGCTTATTCCTGTGTTGGGCAGATTCAACACAGGTTTTTTAGGCTAGCTAGGATTCCCGGATGATGGAGGTTGATTGGGACGATGCCCTTCTTGCACCATGCTTTGCCGTTGGTTCCGATGGTTCAACACTGTCTTCAACTTCAACGGATCCTCCTTCATCAGTCCCAAGCATTGGGATTGAGGACTGGCAGTTGTGTGACCCATTAATTGTTTGGGATACTGGATGTCACTGCCAATGAGTTTCTAGTATTCAGAGGGATTGGTGTGTATGTGTCCTGATTCCTATCTAACAGGCCAAACATGAGCAAACCAATGGACAAGTTAGTTAAACAAACGTTTGTCCTTTTTACTCGCAAATCACCCTGTGCAGGAGGGAAGGATAAGTAGGCTGTGCAGGGCTTCAGCCAGCCTGTCACACTCAGTGAAGCACGTGATCAAAGCCGTTGGCGACGTAGCATTGAAGGACTGGTAGGCCAATAGACTGCAAACTAGGTTCAATGTTTCAGTTTCAATAGCATAGCCCATTATTCTTCCCCGCATTTATGATTCGATTAGTGGTTCAAATTTCTGAACCGCAGGAATCTTTCATGGTCCAGGCACGCACTGCTTTCAGCATGTGCACTGGTGCTGGTACAGCTGAGATGGCCAGAAGCCTGATCCAAAAGTATTTCAATGAGCAAGGATATGATATGAACATCAAGACAGTCGCCATGTGGGCACCTTGCAAAGTTTGCAATAATTGTTTTTCATTCATTGTTCCTACATGCACTGCTCCAAACAAAAACCTACCTCTGAAATTGGCTTCATTGCCTTCTTCCCTGAGCCTCAGCTCAGGAGTGGAACGAGCGCTGTCACAGCATCATTGCGAGCAACCTGAGCTGGTGTGAGCAAGTCACAGGGCACAGGGAAGCGCCGCATTTGTTCAGTGACATTGAATCCTTGAACCCACAGAGTTGCTACAGGGGTGACTTCAAATCACTGAGCTACTCAGAGAAGAGGGACCGGATTTTGGGTAGTGAGATGCATTGCCTTCAAAAGTGTGAGCGTTGCTGTGATGACCTTTGCCCCGTTCCAGCGGCCGACTTTGGAGTGAGTGGCCTTCCTTGCCAAGACATGTCTCGTGCTGGGGCTCGGGCAATGAGGGAGGGCAGAACCAACACTGTATACTTGACCCACGCCAAGTACAACCGCATAAACCGCACACCAGTGATGGTTATAGAGTGTACACCAGACGCTTTTAATGATGTTTGGTAACTGCTTTGACTGATATTTTTCTTTACTGTGCCATGTTCAAGCGGTGAACATATAATCTAATCTAATCTCTCACACTCAGTCCCTGCATACCGAACCGACTGATTCAATTCAGGACTTGGACATGGGGATGGTGGAGGATTGCCACGGCCCTGAGTATGATTTTTACCAGACTATGATGCAGCCACAAGATTGTGGCCACGCAGGTGTTTCTAGGCAAAGGACCTATGTCATTGGAGTTCACAACCAGCGTTCTGTGGTTCTTCATGACCCCTGGTGCCTTCAAGATGTCCTGAAAACAAAATTGTGTG